TCCAGCCGGTCCTCCAGCCACTGCAGCAGCGGCCCGCTCACTGCAGACATTTGGCTGCACAGGTTCTTGGTGAACACCGAGCCGTTGTGGATCTTGGTGATGGGGTCCAGGTGCGCCAGGCTGTGTATCTTGCGGTAAGTATCTTGCTCTTCCTGGCACAGGATCCGCGGCAGCTCCACGGCCGACTCCAGGCACACCTTGCCGATAGCTTCACGGGGCACGACGTGGATGGGGATCTCCACTCTCTCGTATTCGGAGGCCTTCTGAGCGGATACGGACTGGAAGCAGGTGTACAGCACCCGGCCGGTCTTCGTGTTCTTGTCCTCGATGAAGCAGGAGAAGATGAGACCAACGAAGCACTGGTCCAGCATCTGGTACATGGCCTGGGTCCGCACGTCGACGTGGGAGGGCCACACGGTGATGTGTGGGTGGGAGTGGTACCAGCCGACCACCCGCATTGTCCTGCCGGTTATGTCGGCCAACCTCTCCGCTTCCGTAGAAGCCGCTGACAGCTGCTCCGGGGAGATCTCTACCCGGTCCTTCCTCTTGTCCGAGCGGCGAAGGATGATGACAGAATGGATGTGAACGATCCGGGTCATTTCCACCTCTCCGATGCACAATCCCATCACCTCTTCTTTTTCTGTGCTTAAGGCGTGGTTCATGCACACCAGAAAGGCGTCTGACTCCAGGTGAACGGCGCTCACTGCCATCGCTGTCAACTTTTCTATCCGGGGAGAAGATGAAAACAAACTGAAGAAGGAACAGTGCCTGATTTCCGGATTGTGGAGTGCTGCTCTAAAACATTCCGTGTTCGTGCAGCCGGCCTCTTCTGTCTAAAGGTTCCGCATCTTTCGAGTGTCGTGAATAAAAAAAAGTTTGCACTTTAAATCAAACTATATTACCGTATTATGCTCATGTAGCCTATTGCATATTTAACCATATTTATTATATTATCTTTAACTTGTTTACAATGAACAGTGATTTGTATTTAATGAATTACAGTTTTTCACAATTGCTAAAACAATAAACCCCATTCTCTGAACCTAATTCTCAGTAGCCTAAACCAATTTGTCGAATAAATCACTCTTTCTGCAAAACTTTAAACAAGTTTAGGCACCTAGATTCTGTTAGCAAATCTCATGCACTCTTTTTGCTAAACTCTAAACACATTCTCACTCACTAAAACACAATTCGCACTGTGATGAACCTGTGTTGCAAAACACTAAACAGAGGACAGCAGAACTTAAACACAACTAAAGCACAGTTGTCATCGTTTACACACAATGATTCAAAATTGTTCACACTTGTTTCTAATTATGTGATGAGAAGGTACAAATCATAAGTTCAAAGTGCACAGATAGCACGGGTACATCCATCAACTATGGATAACAATATCAGAGGTAGAGGAATATGAGGTGTTGGACAAAAAGGACGAGGAAGGGTAAGACCAGGAATAGAATGTGGTCCTTCCACCATACAGCCCTTTCCTCAACCCAACAGAAGAGTTTTTCTCTGCATGGCGGTGGAAAGTCTATGACCGAAACCCATATACCAGGGAAAATCTCTTACAGGCAATGGAACTGGCCTGTGGTGAGATAGACATGCAGTCTTGTCAAGGCTGGATCCGCCACACCAGAGGGTTTTTTTGCCCGTTGCCTGGCAAGGGACAACATTGCCTGCAACATAGATGAAGCCCTCTGGCCAGGCCCAGCTCAAAGACTTGATCCTGAGGCAGAATAATCTTTCTGATTTGTTTTTCTTCTTCTTCTTTTTTGATCGTAACATGGTTTTTGGTAAATTCACTATACAATAAACTTTTTTTGTTGTAACTACATGTCCTGGATGCTGTGTTCTCCTTCTTTTGATGTAGTAGTGTCTAATGGCTGAGCTGCAGTGTTTATATGATTGACTCATTTGTGTATGATCTGAAAGCATTGTTTGATTTTAAGTGCTGGTGACATGGTTTTGAAGCAATTGCTTGATTTTGCCAGACGAGGTTTTGTGAATTTAGTTTGAGTATTTGGATTTGTGTTTAAGGTTTTGAGAAACTGAGTGGTGGTTTCAAGAAATGTGTTTTAGGAATTCAGAAAAACTGTAATAATTAGGGTACAGTACATCATTTAATCTATCAAATGCCATAAAATGATACTATTCAAAAATGTAGAACAATGGTAAATTATTGTTGTTCTTGTTTTTTAAGCATTACATGTTAACTGAATTTTAATGTTGTTGTTTGCTAAATTTATTTAACTATTGTTGGGTAGTATCATATTACATATTACATAAAATTCAAGTACTCTTGTAAAGCACAACCTCACAAATGTAGAACACACCTTAAAGACAGTTTTCAGGCAGCCAGTTGCTTTCATTTGTTTTGTATGTGTGCAATGCCTAGTGATGCCTATCATAGTAAGGGAAGCCAAACTTACAATATTATTCATTCATTCTTTCCAAAGTGCTTTTCATCCTAATTGTACACAGATATCATATACCACGGCTAGGCTAGAAGACAATATCACAAAATGCTATTTTAATCATAACATGTTAAAACACTCTAATGCCCAAGATTTGTCATAATTTCCAGACCCACTTTCATATCCTGTTCTGTTGATGTTCTTGTATGTGACTGCTACTGAAACTCTCCCAGTAATGATGCCCATTCAGACTCTCTACTCAGGACCTGAAATGTCAGTGAATCTGTGCTGATGATTAGAATACAGCTGATTTTCACTCGTCACTGTTTCTTTTTGATTCCCTTTAGATAATAAGAGTTTGTGTTGGCTGTATTTGGATCCAGTGTGGTTTGGCATGAATACTGTAAGAAATCAGCTCTGGTTTGTGGCAAGAGTAGTTTCAATGAGGCAGCATATAGGCGCCCAGTCAACCAGGGAGCAAATATTTGGGTTATTGATAGGCTTCTTTGTCATATCAGTGTTTGACCACTAGGCGTTCCCCTTGGTTTAGTTTTCATTTAGGGATGGCTGACCTGGTTACTTTCCTCAGTTCATTTACATCAGTGGTTTGTCTTTATAGCTCAGTTTCTAACTTTGTTATATGTCCTGCTTTTGACCTGTTTGTTTAATTTAATCATTAACTTATTTTAACAAGCGGGTGCTTTGAAATGCTATTCTCATTGCTTACCTTACTTTAATGCCTTTAGCTACATTTATACCATGTTTTGAAAATGGAATGAATGAAGAAATAAGGTAACATTGTTATGGCTTGGTAGCATTCACACATTATTCTAAGACAGTTATCCCCTTTATTAGCACTGTATTCACACTAAATAAATGGAAATGTAGTCTACATTTGGAATTTTTTAAAACAGTGTTACCCTGTTAGTATTTTAAACCAAAGCTAAATGCATAAGCTATGTAACTGTTTTATATTGTACTATTGGTTAAACTGGGTTTTATCTACATTGCAACTAGTAATGGTGGATTTGCAGCCAGTTTGTCACTATTTGTTGACACTTGTATCTCTTTTCAACAGCTAAAATGTATTGTATATAATAGAACTTCTCCATATATCATATTTTAGCTGAGGGTCAGGAGCAATGCCACCCCTCAAACACTTCCCTTTCTTGTCATGTGTCCATATCTACCTTCCTGCCCTATATACGTTGTTCTTGTTTTCTGTGTGGACAACAGAAATTTACATTGACATTCACTCAGCACCTCCCTCCTCACTACCCTCTTGTTACAACAGTCTCTTGCTACCTCCACTGGGACTGGAATGTCAGATTACCTCCCCTTGAATTCTCCCATTTCAACAGTCACTCACTTCCCCCACATCCATGGGGATGCAATCCCTACTTCTTCCACATTTTGTTAAACACTGTCTACCATGTTAAATTGGCAGCTCCACATTAAGCATCCCATCAAGCCGTACATCATCGTTTCACCAACCAAGCTTTGCAATACCTGCTTTCAACATCCCCTTAACTAGATCTCTCCCACAACAAAAAAAACTATTCATTTCTACCTGGCATCAGCAGTTTCAGCCAACAAATTGTTGCAGGTAAATCTATTTATTTAGCAGAACTTATTGTTCCCTCTCTCAAACAACCTTGTCACCAGCCAAGAGAGCATAATTGTCATGAGCGGCAAAGCTCCAGCCTGTGCCAAAGAGCTAACAGCACCGGAATTTGCCTGTGCCTTCTCTCTCTTTAGAGACCTACTTTGTTCTACTTACCTGACTCACAGACCAGAGTTTGACAGCTACATGGTGATTATCCTTGATATAGCCCTCCACTTTGGTGGTACAGGATTCTCTCAATATCATGTGCAGTTATGGTCCCAAGCAACAGTGGTGGAAACTACAGTAAGTACATTTACTCAAGTAGTGTACTTAAGTACAATTTTAGGGTATCTGTACTATACTTGAGTATTTTTTGCTACTTCATACTTTGGCGTCATTATTTTATAGCTTTAGTTATTTTTCAGAATCATATTAATTTAAAAAATACAGCATAATCATAAAACTATTTATCTCTCGTGGAAAATTCACTTGTTACTCAGCAGTACTTAACTGATAAGCATATACCAGCTGAAACATTAAGGTGATGAACACACTAAGGCATCAGTAATTATAATCCAAATACATTAATGTTAAATGTTCTATTCTGTATAAAGAGCACTTTTCCTTATAGTAGTTTAAGTATGTTTTGGTGCTACTTTAGTACTTTAGTAACATTTTGAATGCAGGGCTTTTACTTGTAAGAGAGTACTTTTACACTGTGGTATTGTTACTTTTACTCAAGTAAGGGATTTGAGTACTTCTTTCACCACTGCCAAGAAACAGCCTGCCTTCAACAATTCACCCAGGGCACCTAATGGGGAATGTACTGCTGCATTTTTGCAGCCCATGCAGCTCTCCCCTACTGCTCATGTGGTTCATCATTTCATCCTGCCACCAAATGTAGTTTTCAAAAACCTCCAGCTCCAAAATGATCTACTTTATCTGTCTTTCCTCTGTCTAACCAATCCATCTATGTCTCACCAACCCAAACTTTTCCACCATATTACCCCTGCTCCAGGAAGTAGATCAAAAGGTAGACTGGTGCTGCTGCAGGCAGCAAAACCACCAACAATAGCGCCATGTTCCAGTTTTGATACCTCCACATTTGCTCCTTCTGAGACAGAAGTCATTCTCTCCCAGCATGCCCCCATAACCCAACCAAACACTGACTAGCCACGTCTGCCTCAACCACTTTCAACATCCTGGCTCTAAAACATGCACCCAAGAATCACCCTGTTCCAGAATTTGTCAAATTCCTTATTAAGAGCTTTTCAGATGGCTTCCACCCTGGGATCATATCCCAGTCTTCTGTGACCTTTTGCAAAGTAAAATAAAATAAAATAAAATAAATCTTCTGGCTGCTTTGAAGCACCCAAAGATAACAGACTCCCCACTACCCAAAGAGGTGAAGGAAGGTTTTGTGGTCAGACATTTTATGCAGATTTCACATCAGTCCCATAGGCGTACTAACCAGAGAGTATTGTCTTCTGGACAAAATGCATTATAACTGACCCATCAGCTTCCCATGCAGCCGCATCCTAAGCATAATCGGTTTACCACCTCCATCAACCATTCAATCTCCTTAATTAAACTTGAAGGCAAAGAAGCTCAGCTTTCAAAGTCGATATCATAAGTGCATTCAGTGTCCTTTCAGTCCATCTCGACTACTGACCCTCTTTGGAGTGCTCTGGAAAGGTATCTTCTATTTCTGTTACATTAAGCTGACCTTTTAGCTGCAATAGCAGCTCCAAGATGTTTGACACATTGTTCAGAGCCTTGGGATGGATACTCGTGCCATATCCGCTTCACCTTCTTGATGATGTTATCATCATATCCCCTCTGTCATCACCTTTACTACTTCTGTGTTTGCTCCTTTCCTGCTCAAACAGTGACATTTACTTCTTCTGAAGACCACCTCTCTAACCCAGATGACTTTCAGCTCTTCACACATGCTTTTGCCAGTTCTGGGGACTTCGATGGCGGTCAATGATTTGCTGCTACTTGGCCACCCAAGTTCATGCAGTTCCTTCAAATGAAAATTTGTGTTGGCCTTCATCAACTTCCTATGATACTTGAATTTTGGATGATGAATCATTACCAGCCTTACTTGTTAAAAAGAAGCAAACCAACCAGTAAGACAATCCTCTTCTATATTTAAATGAAGTTTTCATCTCAGTCTGTACAAGCCTTTAGTATGTCATGTTCAAATTTCGAAAAGTCACATCAGGTTTTCCCCTGGTTCTGGTCTCTCTCCCACTTCAGACAGGTTCTTGCCTTGTCTTGTATCAAAACAATATGAAAGAGATAATATTGTACAAAAGTCAGTTTTTGCAGGATATGTGAGAAGCCAAGGTGTAATGGTCATGACAGTATGCTACAGTATATAAAGGATTTGTGCGTGTTTGTGGGCTTTTGTTAATCTCATTGGGATCTCCCCCAACATGACATTGTTTACAAAATGGTGGATTAGAAGCTGTGATGTTTCTCTACTTTCTCTTGTCATATACAGTGTTGCAGTTCTTCTTTTGATCATTTCCTTTATCATTCTGATTTAACACAAGGCCCTGACATGACAGTCTCTATATTTCCTGACTAATTAGACCAGCAAAACATGACATGCTGAATTCACTCTCATGTCTCCATGGCAACAGGTTGTGGTGGCAAAACTTTGATGCTGAACGCAGCTCAAAATCAGCACATGCACGATCTCTCTCTCTCTTTCTCTCTCTCTCACACTCACACACACACACCCTAACCATCACAACTAAATACATGACCTCAACCTTTTGGCCAAATTATTCTCAGATTGATGGTTTCACACTCGGATTTGTCCACTCAACATGAAAGACACTAAAGACACGTAGAAACACGCACACACACACACACACACACACACACACACACACACACACACACACACACACACAGACTGCACAGACAATTGCCCTCAAACACACACATACAACATAGACCTGCACATACACAGTATGTCACTCAGATAGCTTATTAAAAATATGTGTGCACGTGTGTTCAGGAGTTTATAAAGCATTTGTTTTGGCACCTCACAGATGTGCAGAGGCGCACAGTATCCATGACGACTAAGATGCAACCAATAACATTTGATTGAATGGTACAGTAGGTATGGTTTAAAATTAAAAGTATTGGGCATTTGTGAAAAAACAAACAAACAAACAAACTATCTCAGACAGTATACTACACATTGTAGAAACAGACCTTCACAGACACAAACGGTTTCTCCCACAGAAATTATCGTCAATGGCAGTAGCAGTATCTTGGAGTGTTATTCTATTCTTCTTATTGTCAGCAAATTCCATGAACAGACAAAAACCAACAATTTAGTAGTTCATCTTTCCATATTTGTTGGCTTCACTGCTCTGTGACTCTCAGCTCCAAACCCATTCATTTCAACAGAAGACAATAATCTTTGAAAATGTGTCACAACTATAATGTTTGATTTTTTTTTCAAAGGGGGTTCAGTTATTTTCTAAAACAGCTGGACAATGTAGTTTTTAGCAAACATCAGACACACAAGTGTTGCTAAATAATTAGCGTATTTGTCTAGGACTATTTTCAGTATTTACTTTTTGTGTGTGTCCTATGATGAGGATTTGCAGCACCAGGAAACTGTATGTGGGATTGAGTCAAAATAAGATACAATGTGTGTTTGTGTTTGTGTATGTGTGTGTTCATAGAAATGAATGAACGTCACTCAGTGCAACAGTGTGACTCACCGATGTGTTTTAAAGAGTTTTTGGACAAAAACGGTCTCTGTGGCACAGAGGAAGAGGATATATCAGCCGCACAGACTGTAATTGAGGATGCTGCTTTCACCAGCTGCAAGAATTATCAGCTTTACATTTCTTATGTGTGGTTACCTATAATTATTGTGAAATGTGAATTTAAACAATTAAAAACCAATTTAACTTGTATTATTTCCTCACACACTATCTTGAAATTAAAATATCACATATGTCTAAAGGTATATGTAGTGCATATACGTGAATTTAAGGTTCTTTTACCTTTAAAACTACAATGCAGGGCTTCATGTGTAGACTAATGATAGATATGAGGGTGATGTCAAGCTCCTCATTTATTGAAACTCTAAGCAAGATAACAAATGAGCATGTTTCTAGTAAAATGGCAAATTCAACAACCAACTATGCAGCAATTCAACCTAACCAGTAGGTCTATACAAATCATCAAACTAATGAGAGATTTAACATGTCAGATAGCCTTATTAAACACTAATGCTTACCTTAGCTACTTAGCTGTGAATGTTGACAGCTAAACCAATTTATTGACAATTTTTAGTCAAAGCTGGCCCACCAGTAAAAGCTGAACTAGAAGTGTAAAAACAAAACTTTTTGTGTGGTATATAACAACTGTTCCAAATATAACCGTTTATATGTGCTAAAATAATAAGTGTAACACAATTATTTGTGGAAAACCTACTTATGTAACATCTTTAAATTATCACAAGCACACGGAAGCGTCCGTTTTTGCCAAAAGTGAGAATTCCGGATTTCCGAGCAGTCCCTGAACGCAACAGGAGCGTCAACTTCCCCACCCCTCGAGGAAGCTGAGCGATATTCATCAGACTCGTTGGACTCGCAGACGCAAGCCCGGGCGTTCTTCAGTCTGCAGCCCCATCTGAGTCTTCACCGGGCCGCCACACCGAGCTCCGGCCCGGTTTGGTGATCTCTGCGTGGATTTTCCCCTCGATCAGGACCGTGGGAGAAATGCAACGTCTCGGAGGAGGAGGAGGAGACGAACTGGCCAGGCAGCACCAGCAGCAGACACCTGAGAGGACGATCTGAGTTTGTTTCTATAACGTCAAAAAAGGTAAGAGCCACAGAGCAGAGAAGAAATGTTCCCAGAGCATGCTTCGCACTCAGGCGTCTGCTCGCACCTGATGCAGATTGTTGTTTGGTTGTTTGCTGGTGCGTTTTCCTTTCACTTGTCGTTTCCAGCGTCAGTACAAGGCAGGCAGTATGAGTCATAGCCCGGCGCAGGGCTGCTGGAAGATCTGCTGAGGAGCAAAGTGTCTGTAGCCTCCAAAGCCACAGTCCTTTATCAGCCGCTGCACTTCTGCTCTTTCTGCGAACTGCGTACAGCGTGTGTCTGTAGTCAGGAGTGTGCGTGGGTGTGCATGCACGTGTGCGTATGTGGCACGATACTCAGTCTCCAAAGCCACAGTCCTTTATCAGCCGCTGCACTTCTGCTCTTTCTGCGAACTGCGTACAGCGTGTGTCTGTAGTCAGGAGTGTGCGTGGGTGTGCATGCACGTGTGCGTATGTGGCACGATACTCAGCATGGTAAGACTTTGGGTTGGAGTGGGTGAGCCTGATGCAAGGGTTTATAAGAACTGAAGCGTCCCATAAGTGGAATATAATCCCTCAGGTCAAAAGTATGTGAACAACCACGTGCACGTTGGTCTGGAGCTGGTTTTGACGGCTTGTTGTGGGCGCAATGGTTCCAATGAGGGGAAGCCCTGGTGCTTACAGAGCACATTGATGTTAGTGTACTTAAAGCTTTGTGGCTGTTTCAACTTGACAAGGCCCCCAAAGAAATGTTTTTTTTCCACATTGGTGGAGAAAAACCTGTCTACCCCTTACAGAACTCTGATCTCAACCCCATCCAACACCTCTGGGATGGGCACTTGGCCCTCATCACCCAACATCCGTGCTTTCATTAGGACATCCGTGGTTGAACCTCATCTAATGCTGTTGTGGTTGAATGGCAGCAAATCCCTGTTAACAGATTCAACATCTTGTTGAAGGCATGAGATCACAGAAGTGGAGGGTGAATGCAACAGATTAGAGGCTGTGATTCATGTTCAGCTACGCCATGTGGACCTTTGTCAACTTCAGATTCCTACTTGAAAACCAACATTTCTGCCAAAGATAGTACAGTTTGCTTATTTTACATAAGAGATCTGCATTTCTTTTTCCCCCTTCCCTGCTTTTCTTACAGGTTTGAAATGGGAGGAGCTTCCTAGCCACGATGTGATGCTATAGAATCAGAATCTGATGGAAGTTTTTTGTAAGTCTGTGTGGTCATCAAGAGGAGATGCTGTCAATTTGAAACAAAAAAGAGTTGAACTACTGAAAAAACGTGTGCATGTTTTGTGGTCGAGGAGGGAAAGCTGGTGTGTTGATGTGAACAAAATTCGACAAAGTGCAAGAGGCTTAGCAAATAAATCGCGTGCATGTGACTGAAGCTTCTGCTTCACTGAAGAGACGGAAAGAGATTCATTTGTATTTTGTTTTTCCAGAAACACTGGACTCTTCTGTATAATTTAACAAGAATAAAACTTTGGCACAGCTGCGGTGCTGTAGTACTCGAGTCCAGGTTTTCAGGGCTGATGACTTGGACTCAAACAGGCCATAATAAGATACTGATATTAAAACCCATTCACCCGTGCCATGCTGTGTCTGACACGCTTCCATAGAATCATACACTGCACCTTTGATACATAAAAACATATATGGAAATTGCTGAGCACTATGGTGATGCAATACATTGTTTGGAATATGAAAATGGCGAGAGCTGTGTCAGTTGTGTATAATGTAGACCTGGATGACTAGAACCCAACTTTATTCTTTGGTGATTCTGACTTGAACACTGGGGACTTGAGGCTTAGTGACTTGACTGCAACACTGCATGGCCACCAGTTTTGATTATTTCAGCTGTTTTCAACTTTGCTGCTGTGAAATAATGTTGTGTGTGGCAGATGATAGCACGGTACCCATGAGGCTTGGCTGTTGCTGTGATGGAGAAGCAGGCAGGTGCTTTCTAACACAGTTGTTCATCTTTTGTACTGATGATTCAGCCGGCAGAGTTTCATGGCCATCTAAGCCCTAAAACTATCAGCCACCTGACGCTGTCTGAGAAAATCAACAGGGGTGTAGCATGCACACGCATATTTGTAAAATGTGATAGAAGTCTTGTATTCCAAATACTCCTTGCCTAAACTTATGGCTTTAAACTGTTCAGCAAGTTGTTTTCCTGAATGAGAGATGAGAAGTCACTATCGCTGCTGCAATAGTGGTATCCCTCTCAGTGCCATGGGCAGACTCAGGATATATGTTGACTCATAAATCAGCTTGTAAACAAATATGGAAGGAGTAGAGGTAATTAGTGGAAATAGCCTTTATTGGTTTGGTAATGCAGTCGGTGTCCCTTGAGCTGCTGGCAGCTTTATTGTTTCACGTCTCCAGTATCAGTTCGCCTTGATTCATTGCTGATGGACTCATAATGGATATTAGAGAATACATTTGGCTCATGAGATTGTTCTCTGTTGGTATAAACATTGAAGGACTCCTCTTTTGCCATTCATTTGTTAAAATTTCATGAAAACATACATTAATTAACAAAAACAAAGCAATAGCACAAAAGTAGTAGTAGTAGTAGTAGTAGTAGTAGTAGTAGATTTTTTTTTTTATTGATATTCTGTGAGGTTTATTGCAGTGTGGTGTACATTAACTAGACCCAGTAGGAGGCAAGGGATCTCTTATTCTCAAATATCTCAAATTTCCTAACTACTTCTGGAAGGGGCATGTAAGCATTCATTACATTGTCAAACTAGAATTACTGCGTTACGGTTGTATGTCTCCATCAACCAATCAAATTCATGGGAATGGGTCAGATGTGAGGTCACTGTGACCTTTGACCATCAAAACCTAATCAGTTCATGCCTGATGCTGAGAAGAGCCTACAGGCAGACTCCAGGGAGACAATCTAGGGGCTGCCACTTGCTTTCATATTATTAATAGAAACTCCTTGAAGTTGCCGATTGGCTGCTTATTTTACATCATTGCTAGGAAACGAGACCCTCTAACCCCATTAGACCCTCTGTTGCAGGGGTCAGCAACCTTTAATACCTGAAGAGCCATTTTGGGCCAGAAGAGGGGAAAAAAAAGCCTCTGCTTGGAGCCACTAAAACTATTTGAGCCCTTTATATGCAGGTACCACAGCCTGTTGGCTAAATAGCTAATTGACTGTACAAATAGGTCTAAATGAACATTCATATGTTTTACCATGTGGCTGGTACAGGCTGTTTAAGCCCACTGCCATGTGGGCTTACTTAAAAATGGTTTATCTATAAATGGCTTATCGGGTCTATCTTCCCTGTGTTTGTGCCAATGAAATAAATAGCCAAAATACCATGAAAAAGCAAAGTATGTACGTGAGTAGTACCCAGCTGGCCTCCATAACTTTGTAGTAAAGGGAAGTGATGGACACCACGCTATTCCAGCCTCTCGCCATGGTGGCAGGGCAGGCTTAATGCTGGTATAATGTTCGTCCTAGGAATGGTATTATGCCACTTTATCAAGTTTTGATATTTTTCAGTCAAGACAATAGCCATTAAGTTCTTGAATATGCAATGGGTCGATCTAAGTAGTGCCGGTTTGCTCAGGCGTTTTTGGAGACATGATGACCTACTAATGTTCCAGCTAGCTGGCTCTACTTAAGCTTTACAGGCACAGCTGTAGCCACTGAGCCTTGGACCCCTGCTCTAGAAATTAGTTAATGCACCTTTAAACAATATATATGATGATAAACGGTGAACTTTACTCCATCCATCCATTATCTCTACTGCTTCTCCTGTAGAGGGCTTTTGGGGGCTGGAGCCAATCCCAGCTGACACTGAGGCGGGGGACACCGTGAACAGGTCACCAGTCTATCGCAGGGCAATGTCACTGTGAAATTAAAAGTAATTGATGTTCTGCCAGACTGAGATCAAGATCAACCCAGGCATTTTTTGATTAATAGGTTTTGGCTCTATATCCAGATGACTTCAATTTCAGTTGTGTAACAACAGTGATGGATGCAAAAATAATGGTCGCTCTGTGTCGATTTTAGTGACATTTTGTAGCAGCACACTGCACACCTCTAAGTGCTATGTCTGTCCAAATCACATAAAAAAAGAGCCTACACTGACATTATCTCTCAAGATATTATGATAGGACACCATTAAAGAAACTATAAGACATCAGCAGATTGTATTTTCTTAATGCAGAGCCTTTTTAATGTAAAACATATCAGAACTACTTCATCAAATTTTAACACGGCCATTAAAATGCGCATTATAAGCTGTATGCAGCATTAAAATGATTACTGAGTCATAGAACGTGGTCAGAACGGCCATAAGTTAAAGTCTGGCCCTGGATACCTTCAGCTCAACACAGAAATAACAATAATATACAGCATCTAACTTTCTGCATATTCAGACCTGTGGAACATTCGTGCCCGTCATTTAGATTTCAGCACTTTCTGTGGTAATGTTTAAAAAATCCAGTAGCACTTTTGAGGTTTATTGAGAGAGAATAGCAGGCTGTTTTGCTGTGATGATTGTCTGACCTTTTAACTCTGGGACAGCTCTCCCTAACCAGTGTGCCCTTTTCTTCCCGCTCTGTCTCGCTCTCTCTCTTTCTCTTCTTCCTGCTGCCCACCTGGAGCGTATTGACCAGAAACAGCAGGATACAGCCTTCCTAAGATGATTAATGCATAGATAAGATTTCCACCTGATAGTGAGGATGTTGCGGCAGTAAGGCGTGTGTGTGTGTGTATGTGTGAGAGAGAGAGAGAGTGTGTGTATGTGTGTGCTTTTCTGAGATGGTTGTCTGTGGGCAGAATTGCATTTTGATGCTTGAAATATTTCTTGTCAGAGGTAATCTGGTTGAGGGTAGAGCTCATAGCCATTTAGAGCCGAAGTACCTACATTTTCACAAGGCAGATGAGCTAAATTGCAAAGCAGGACTGTAATGAATACACACTGGTCAGTACAAACTTGGTGATCAGTTGTAGCTCACAGCAGACAACAGCTTTAAGTCAACACCAGTCCACTTTTGTTGGTTCTGAGTGTACTGCAAGCACCTTTTGGTGGTTGTGTTGCCCTGGATGACGGCTGCTTTTATACCCTGTGTTACAGAGCCTGAAAAACATGGTGTCCTCAGCATGACTCATTTGCAGAGCACTTTAAAGAATAAACTGTGCCAACTGGGTCTTTAGAAATTGTCGAGCAAGTTGGATTTGTCATCACCAGTGTTGCTCACTCATGTCTAGTGATGGATAGAACACTTTTTCCCCACAAATTTCGCAAGACGTTCAACATACTTTGCTACTTACAATTATCAGCACATTGATTAGGCTGTTAAATTGATTTTAAAACAGCAGTACTTGTCAAGGATAGATAATCATCCATCTATTTTGTTCTGCTTATCCGAGATTTTTTTTTTTTTTTACTCTGGCAGCAGGTTCAGTAAGGTAGTCCAGGTGTCCCTCTCCCTGGTGACGTGTTCCAGCTCCTCTG